GCGCACGCTGGAGGCGCCTGAGGCACCCCTTGAGGGCGTCCCCACCCCAATTATTACCACGGCTGACCTCAACGAGTTCCTGGGGATGCTGTTGCAGCCTCCAGTCGAGCTCCCAGCGTGGAATTACCCCGCAATGAGTGACGCGGACGGCGGACCAACGTTCGACCGGCTGCAGTTCATGGGGGTCCGCCAGCTGCGTCAGGCATCTTCCTGGGGTAGCGCCCAGCGACGTCGCGGCGAGAGCCTGGAGAGGCGCGCCCAGGAACTCCTGGAGGAGAAGACCCGCGCCATCATGCAGTCCGTGAGGACCGCGGGGCAGGAGATGGGGGATGCGGCGTGAGTCATTTACGTCGGCTGCCGGTACACCGCCATGCACGCCTTGGGATCGACCGGATGGTCGATCTTGAAGAGGGGGGGAGTGTGGCAGTGGTACCGGTAAGCACGAGCTGAGGTGCTCGTAGGGGGGGCTGAGTTTGCCTTGGTGAGAGGTTAAATGTTGTGTTTGTGACCGGTTTTATGTTTGTAATGTATTTCTGTGTGTTTCATGTTTGTTTTGTAAGTGTCTTGCAGCAATTACTCACTTACCGCCAGATTTCCATGGGGGCTGCCATTAGTTGCGGTTGTAACCCCCTCTAGCGACCGAGATCGGCACTAGTGTAGAAAACAGCGGGCTGTTCGAAGAGTCGTGTGCAAACGGCGTTGGTTAGCGTTGTTGTGGAGTGAGCGAGCGGGAGAGTTTGTAAAAGTGAGGAGTTAGAGAGTTTTAGAGTGAAATATATTGGACGGAGGAGTTGGAGAGAGCGGGGAGAGAAAGTCAGACGAGAGGGTTTTGGAAGCGGCTGTTCGGCGAGCGTCTGCCGGTCCGAGCGAGAGGGAGACGTGCCGAGTGAGGACCGGGGAGATAGTGAGTACAGCGAGCTGTCATTATCGGCACACCGTCGGGGCTTAATTTACAGTTAAAGTAGGCAATAATAATTTGGTAACGTTAACGACAATAGTAGAATGAATTGTGACTTAATAGACGTCGACTGACGTATTTAATATTAACCTCGAGTAGCAGCCTTAGGCGCATCGGGTGTTGAGTGCATCCCTTGTGTGGGTGGCCGTACGGGGGTCCTGTCAGCCAGCTGCCCCCCCCTACACGTTGAATTAATATCTCCCGAGTAGCCCCGCGTCATAAGGTGCGCCGTGTTGTCTTGTGTTGTGTCACTGTTTTTTCTGTGACGTCCGTCGTCTGGCATTGTTAACTAACGACAAGCACCGGAGAGAACGAACGCTGGGTTGGCCACGACGAGAGCGCAGTAGCTTCGAGGCGCTCACGGGGGAGTGGAGGCTGAGGTGGCGACGATACGACACATAAGGTAGGAACATCTATCTCGTATTTCTCGTTGCCACTATCCACCGTGTTGCACTGCACTATACGTAAGGTAAACTGCTAGTTACTGCGTATTGTCAGGTGGCGCCCCCTGGTGTCGCGGAAAGACACGAAAACGCTACACCTGTCTATTAGGTCATGAGCCAGACCCGATAATTTTGGCCATCGGTACCATCCGAGGGGAATAATGTACATAGTAAATTTTGGCAAAGTATACATCTCTAGAGTCAGAAACTATGTGATAGCATTATAGTGGTGGTATAGCCTTTTGCGTGTTATTAGCCGTTTAGTAACCCAATCCCACAATGAACACGCCGGTTTCAGAAAAGTGGCATATAAGACAGAATAAGATATTAAAATTAATGGTTCTCTCTTATTATAGGCCCTATCTTCTTGAAAATTGTGAGTTGTTAGGTTTAAGTTAGATGCAACAATGCGAAAAATGCTGCAAATCAAGGAAAGCTTATTACTTTTTATTTTTCTTCGATACAGGCTACGTTGATAAGAAACATATTAAAAGATTTGAAGGTTCATGATTTTATGTATGAATATAATGTATAAATATAATGCATAAAACATTATATATAAATGTATAAATCATGTATAAATATAATCATCAGTTGGAGCTATCAAACGGTACTACATAACAGCCGAGTACCGCAGTGAATTTCTGGGACAGTTAAGAGACATGGTGCAAGGTAACAAATCAAAAGTTTGCTATACAGATCTACAGCAGTGTCTGCAGTTGTTGGCCTCATCAAAAATAGAGTCAAACCATTTGCGGAGGAGCAAGACCTCATTAGCATCTCTACTACAAAGGCAGCACCCAGAGACATTGCCTCTGACCTCTGGAAGGCTTATGAGATCGGTGAGCAAACCTATGCAACCTTTCAGGATGAGAGACTAGCGAGAGACCCACCAGCAAAGAAATTCCATGACCCAACGAAAACTGACAAGCTGAAGACATTCAGCTATATGTGTATGAAGAAGGAAGTGAAATCAAGTGGGAAGGCGACGATCTTGAAGGCAAGACAGATCTTTGTTTGATCGCATCATAGTGATGGCACAAGGACGCAATCTTCAGAGGATATCCTCTTTCATCCCCTTGGACCATTGCCCTGGGCCCTGTCCATACCAAATGGATTGCTGCGAAAGCCCAAACAAGGCTACTTTAGCCACAACTTTACAGAAGAATGTGATAGTGGCAGAGCAACTCCCAAGTAACTCTGCTTCAGTGGTCGATGGGATGAACTTAGTCCAAAGAGTAAAAGATGATCAAGTTACTTTTGGAGAGGTCGCCATTACAGTGTTGTCTATGGCACTGAGGGAAAGAGCTGAGAATGACAGAATAGATGTTGTGTTTGACATATACAGGGAGAAGTTACTCTATCAAGAACAGTCAGAGACCACATCACAGGTACACAGATTGTGAGGCAGTGGAGGAGTTTCCTGAGCACAGTTAATAACAACACCAGTCTCATTGTCTTATCAGTCGGTGAATGGAGGAAGCCAGAATACAGAGAAAAACTACATGCAACTGGGAATGACAAATGTTACAGAATCACACAGAGGTGCCAGCTCTGCAGTGTCAGACATGAAGAAGCAGATGAGCGCCTACTTCTCCATTCTGCCCATGCAGCAAGAGAGGGCTATCAGGCTGTAGTTATCTGCTTAGAGGACACAGACGTCTTCATAGTGTCCTTGGCATTTCATGACAAGATTGGAGTCCCACTGATCCAGAAATGTCGAACTAGAACACGGACAAGTATCGCTGACCTCATAAAGGTTGGTGCCACGGTTGGCATAGATGTCTGTAGGGCTTTCATTGGGATGCATGCACATACAGGATGTGACACTGTCAGTGTGTTTGCAGGCCAAGGGAAGGCAAGTGCCTTGAAACTCTTGATCAGCAACAGGGAAACCCAGGACACATTCCTAGAGTTGGGTCATATATGGGACCTCTCCCGAAAATTGATGGACAAACTAGAGACATTTACCTGCCTCCTCTATGCACCAAAGGCTGCACCCACTAAGGTTAATAATCTCAGATACGAACTATTCTGTGTTAAGAAGAACGGTGAGATAGAGCCACCAGCTTCCACCATGCAGGGACTGCTTAGTAAAACACGCACAAAGAGCCAACTACCAGGCTGCAATATGGAGACGATGTCTTGAACAGGACCCGAAAGTACCATGTCCTGTTGGCCGAGGATGGAAGATTGAAACAGGAAGGAGTTGAACAGTTGGTGGTGGAACAGAGGCGGCCCTTGATTTATTGGCCTGCAATTGGATTATTGTACCAGGAAGTGTTCACTGGCAAAAGGTGTTTGTCAAACGGACTGAAATGCACTGATATGTGCAGACTGCCAGACTGTGAGAACCAGGCATCCATCTTTGAGTTAGACGATGGGGAAAGTGCAGATGAGGATATTGAAGAACTGGATAATGATTATGATTTTTAAGTTCAACTTGAACATTTCATATCACTTACAATTAGTGTATGTGATCAGAAATGTCTTAGAAACTATATAAAGGGCCCGTCTTTGGTTCATAAGACAATATCAGCAACACTGGATCAGCAGCATTGGATCTAGGCAATGGCCCTGTTGGTGCGGAAAACCACATTTGTTTTTCTATTCTGTAATTTTAAGTCCTACAACAGAAGATTGTGTTTCGTTTTCACCTTTGACTCACTCATCAGATTGCACATGATTAACCATCTTACTACTGTCTTATTGGTTTATATTGTGTAATACGGGTGTTTGATACCTTCAAATGTGCATTACTGAGTATTTAAATCCCTGAAATTCTGTATTTGTTTAGGAATTACAGTAAAAAACATTAATCTTGTTCATGAACATGCTATCATATACTTTTGTTTGATTCTAGGAAAGGATTCTGCTATAATAATCTTAATATATAACATACACAAAAGAAATTTAGATTTTTAGATTTCTTAATAAATTTGGTACAAACCAATGTAATTATATGTGTTCCAGGACTTTTACTTACTTTTCCACAATAAATGATAGAGAAATACTCTTCTAAATGCGGTATAATTTATCACACAGAAAATAGGCATTGTCATAATTGTCACCAATGACATACCTTTCAACCTAGGCATGTTTAGCACTTTTTGTTGAGAAGCAAATGATCATAGCAAAAGGTGAGACAATTTTCAATGTTAAAGTTTGACTGATAAAAAGGCACTGTTAAGTTGAAATAGGATGTCTTACCTTGTATTCTCGTACATTACTTAGTAATTTTTCACAAAGGTGTATTTAAGAGTAGACATATAAACAGGGTGATAACACACAAAAAGCTACCAACGATGCCATGTTATCACATATTTTCTAACTCTAGGGCTGTATTTTGTATAACTTTTATTCCCCCCGGATGGTACCGACCAACCCTACTGACTCATGGACTAATGCGATATCAGATTTAAAACGTTTCTTCACTTTTATAATAGTAGCATGTACTGCAAGATTTGTTGTAAACACCTTATTACTTCAAGTGTTTCAATAACTCGCATAAAAGAGCTAAATGAATAATGTTGAATAGTAACATACCTAGTAGGTGAATATTTAGCATACACACATTGGATTTATATGGTCTGTGCAGATCACATAAAGCTGTATGAGCATGGTTTTGGTTATTTAATTGTTTTAATCACATGATTATTTCAAACAGCTGTACTTAATTAATGTCACGACATAGTTTTAAAAGCATTTTCAACATCTGCATGATGTGCATACGAGATGGCTCGTCTAACGAAAAGTGACCGTCGTGTTCCACACAGGCACGCAGAGATCCAGATGAAAATAGCCCGTATCTCTATACTTACTGCAATATTCTATAATAAACTACAGTGGCGGATCTAGCTATCAGGAGACGCGGGGGGTGATATTTGCGTGAAGGCGTGCCGAAGGCACGCGGTGCTAGGGTGCCCCCATTTAACTAGTATCATAACATTAGTCAGTGGCTGAACGGGGGGTCGCAACCCCCCCTCTAGATCCGCCACTGAAAAAAACCAATTACTACTAAATTAAACTAAACCTAACGAACCAAAACAGCGCACGTGTACTTTTAGTTAGATGCCAAGTCCACTTCCATCCACTTTCATCCATTTCCACAGTGGGGAGTCTATGAACACACGCACGCATGCATGCATGCATGTATGCAGATGATAGAAACTAACTTATATTTTTTTTTAATTCCTATACACGGTCTGCACTCTTGTCACGCATATGTAAATAACTTCGAACATTACAGTGTAGGCATGATAACGTTTCTTCCCATCTTCCTTAACAATTATATATATACAATAATGAGCTGGTGCGCAATAAAACTGAATAAATAATCATGAAAATGTGTGCTACACCTTGTTATATCAGACGTTTAGTTTGTAACAGCAGGCCAAATGCTGGTGGGTATGATGTAATCATGACCACAAAAATATCAAATGTTACTTTCTGTACTATTCACATGCTGCTTCAAACCTGCTGTGTTTTTCATTTCATGGTGTTGCCTATAAATGTTACACTTGTCATTTTTGCAGAGATGTAATGAGTTCCATATGGTTCACTACAAACCTGCCATCCATTCCAGATATCACAGGACCACAACATATGCCGCTGACTGTCATGCGCCTTCCTCACCAACACTACACCAATTAGATAGCTCTACCACGAATCCAGCTGCCTTCTACAATATGTTAATCCAATCATATTGCATGTAGTCTATTTTCATGTTAATTTCCAGCTGCTACAAGCTCAGACCTTATCACAGACAGGAGCTAAATGTACATTTTGATTTAACAGACTACATAGCAAACGACCAATGAATACCTGGTAATTGGCATGTAATATGTTCCTCTCTACTAACAAATATTAATTATAATCAACTGATATTTTGCTAAACTTATTTATAATATATACAAATAACAGCATACACAATGTAACATTCATGAACCCAAACTGTCGGCACTTGTTACAGGCATAATCATTGCATGTGGGCACATCCATATTTCCACTTCAAGGCTAGTTTGAGCTAAGTAAGATTTTGTAGACGTCACAAACATGCCCATCATTCGACATTATATTTAACATAACAGAGTGAAATATAAACATCCTAATACAAACAATCAAAATAACAAAATTTAAACCCCTGAATCACTGACGATGCAAAACACATAATTAACAAAGAAAGTCGGGTTGAATGTACAAATGATTGTACGCAGTCATATGTAGGTGGAACGCCCCCTAAGAAAACTCTCACACCAGGTGCAGGTAAGTGCCTCCTTTGGGTTGTTTTTACCACATCCAGGACAAGGAATCCAGTTGTGCAGGCTGGGAAAGTCTACCCACCTGCTGGCACACCTTTTGCATGAGGGTAACTCTGCTGGATTGGTACACCTACACTGAGGGCATGTCCACCCTCGCTCCACTGGGAAAAAGTGGTCTACACCATCAATGCTACAGTTTTTGTTCACAATGTTGAGAAAGTCATCGAGATCCAGCAAGTTGTCATAAAAACTCCGCCTAGTTAGGTCTTGCTTGTCACACCTGTCACCGTCCCATACTTGCGTTGCCAACATGACCTCACCCTCGGTTGCAAACCTTCCATCTCTTAAAGGTGGCACGTTGTTGGTGCCAGCTCTGTGAACGTTGTTATGATGACGCAAGTATGGAGAACAGTGCACGTCAAGAAGACTAGTCGTATTGAGGGTGCCATTGCTGCTTATCAGTTCCCCATTGGAGTGCCTGAGATGCGACTCAGGACGCTCCTGCCTGTATGCTGCACGGTCAGTTGTTATGGCATCATTTGAGCCATTCACTACCGAGGCAAATGTATAGGGAACAGGCACTATGCCTTGCCATGGCATGGCTTCCCCCTGCATTGGCTGAGATTTTTTAGGGGCCGAAAGCTCCCTACTTCCATTGCGTAGTCGTTCCTCTGTGTAGCTTGGCCTGCTCTCCAGTCGGTAACTTCTGGGAAGGCTGTGGTGAATTCCAGAGAGATCATAAGTGTGTGGCATGTGGTGCAGCGCTGGCTTCTCCTCGTGATCTATGAACTGACGTAGAGGCATCCCTGAAGCATTGTGGGCGTCATCGTCATCATTACTGTTGGAGTAACTATTAGAATAGACATTTGGCTGCCTGGTGACAGTAAGCCCTGCTTCAACGCTGACCCACTTGCCTGCGCACCTGTCAACACCTGGCCCATCCACAAAAATTTCCGGCTTCGATTGCTGCGACTTGGCGGAAATGCTGCGGGCAAATTTTGGGGACCCTGACCGCCGCATCTCTTCTACAACGTTGCTCGCTCGACTTATCGTTGAGGCCTTGCTGAGCTGCAGGGAGATCGCCGTGACCGCCTTCTGCGTGTTGCCGTGGTGAGCTGCTCCAATCGCCTGTGCCCTAACGGATGCCTGTGGGTGCACCAGCAACAGCATTTGGCAAGCACGAGGACGCATGACACTCGATTTCCCTGGCAGTGGCGGTGGCAGTGTCTGCGAGCAGGGCAACTGTGATGTTTCGATGTCCTTCTTCAGATGCCTCGGAAGAACGCTGTTTTTGGCACCGTTTATATATTTGCGTAGGGAGTGGAAAGAGCTGCCCTTCACTGGCTTTGTGCGCTTTGGCTCGACAAACTTCTTGCCGTCAGCAGACTGGTGAGTCTTTTTATCATTAGTTGGAGGTTTTGTGTCTGCGACGATGTGCTGGTCAATAGGCTTTGTGAGTGATTCTGAGGATGAACTATGGCTTCCGTTGGCAATTAACGAACCGACCTTCCTTAACCTAACCGGTGGCTGCTGTAGAAGGGAGGCTACGCTTGCTGTTCTATCCCCTGAAACCTGCATCCTAAAATCGACTACCTGTAAAATATCACGAAGACAACTTAAAACTGTCGTTTAATAAAACTGGATCAAATACAGTTACATCAGACGATTCCCTTTATACTTTATAATCTTGTGGATGTTTTATGATTATCATATCATGATTTTATTCTACTTTTGAATTCGATTCATCAATAATAAGGTATTCTGGCAGAAAAATTACATATGGCTGCCAGTGTATGAGTTTGGTGATGACAGCACATGGAATCCAGGTATTTCGGCAAGCAAAATCATTTGGGGAATTTAACAGCTACATTTATACCCTGTACAGACTGGAAATTTAATACCACATCAAACTAGTCCAGGCAGGCCAGGGCAAAATTTTTGCAGTGTGTACATGCTATCCTGTGCTAAATACACTCTAGTCTGGACTAATCTGGTCCCGCAAACGAAGGAGGGCCAGGCCGCTTACACCGCGCTCAACTGTGTGTGTACGCAATTGAGACCTGGCCCGTGTTCAATTTTGCAATACGCATGCGCATAGCCTTATTTAGGTCACAAAAAAGTACAGTGGCTGTCTGCTGAGTGACGTAATGAGCTAAACTGAGCATGCACAGTCAACCCGTGCCAACTTAGCACGCTTCAGAATGTTGTGTCTGCACGCTGCGATTTAGCCAGCGTCTAGCCCGGGCGTGGACCGGACTAGTTTGATGTGGGATCAAATTGTGTAGTCTGTACAGGGAACACAACACTTAACACGTCGTGTAAAATATTGAAATAAATACCTGTGTCATAGAGTAGCCTTGGTGGCGTGTTCTGGAATATATCTCTTTCTGAATGCAGCACTCTGCATATGCAAGAAAACAGTCGAACGCCACCGTAGCTGTCACATCTGGATCAGTGCGCCCATGCAGGTAGAACACATCCCTGCTGTATGCTAGCTTCCTGTAGCCCAGTTGTTCAAGGATCCTATGCGTTGCCGATAAGTGCGCCGACACATGACAGACGAACGTGCCCGTGTACAGCTGAAGCAGATGACAATACATATTGTGAGTGTAACATGTACAGATGTCACAATCACCATTTGATCTCACATACGATTACCAATTGTTATTCTTATTGACAATTAAAATAAAATGTATACTTGAAAATTCATCAGTAACAAACACATCTAATCTATAGAGGTTTTTTGAGATGTATTACATGTAGTACATAAATTGGAGGTCTTTAATTAATGTACTCCAGATAAAATTAGCTTGATTTATGCTGCGCAGGCTTAAGATATAGAATGGTGCATAGCTACTTGCCCAGTTACTATAACTATAATATAAACTACACTAACTAATAATCTATCTTTTCCAAGAGACTAACAAGACACATAGTATACCTTTATTGTTCTAAACTCTGATCGCCAAGGATAGCGGAAAAGGTTAAGAGCAATTTTTTCAAGATGGGAGAAGGCGATTGCTGCCTTGCCAAAAGAGAACGTATCATCTTTGTCTTTAATGCTTCGCAGTAGCATATCACTAAAGCCCTGCATTGAAAATTTGACCGAATCCGGAGCTAGTGCCAGAAACTTGAATGCAAGTTCAACCAGCTCTTCTTTTATTTCTTCCTGCAAAAACATTACAATTAGCTATTTATACAATGTAACTTGAGGAAAACGTATCAAAGCTTGTTTCACTCTTTGTTAATGCATCCATATGGAATAATCTTTAAATTAAATTACACAGCATGGTCTTGCATTTATAGCTGATGCCTTTATGAATTAATTCAAAAAGGGGGGAGGTGATAAACTTTCACTTGCTGAGGCCATAAGGAAAATTATACATGCACAATGACATACCTCTTGCTGTTTTGGCTTGGCATATCTTGCAAAGTCCACGTAAGACTGGCACAGGTCAACACGCAATGCTGCAGCCTGATCTCCATCACACTGCTCACCCATCGACACTAGTGAACATTCGGATATATGTCTGTACTAAAATGAGTGAAATCTCCGTGGATAATGTGTCCCGAACATGGCAGTAGATATAATGTAGGCACTACTTTCGCATTCTGTCAGGGAGAAAGTACAGATTATTAGAAGCATGTGATTACATATATGTTGCAAAAACACATTGTAAACAGGAATGATGACATAAAACCAAACTTGCGTTGTAATCGGAATAATCTTTAATAACTCATACAGTGTAAACACATCGCACAAAGAGACACAAAACCACGCACACGCGCATGGCACGCGCGTGTGCTTTCTCTGGCGACCAGAACCAGCCTGCCCCGACTATTACCTCTCTGTCATATATATCCCCCCAAAAAACTCCTACGAACATCCTGCACGCACATGTACACATTCTCCCAGACCGCGTCCTACCCCCATTTCACAATGACCCTCGAAACTGCCTAACCTAAACCCCGATTATCCAATTCCTTGTAACATCAATGCAGCCGCCCAAGATGCGCGGCGCTGCGTCTACACAGACTAACTGGTCACCAAACAACCCTAGTCTAGCCTCGCTGACTAATTCATGTAACACGTGCAAAACACATGTTACAACATCATGAAGTGATGTAACAAAAGAAAACATGCTGGCAACAGAGACTCCCTGAAACTCAATGTAACTAAACTATATATGATAAAATATCAAGTGGTAATGCAGAGTGCAGGCTGATAAAACTACTGTGTGAGGGTCAAATTATAGATGCATATGATTCAGCATATTAAATAGTGAGTAGGGAACACTATCGGTCTGTTACAGGCAGTTTTTATATACCATAATTTAAACCGATTTCAACAGTTAACTGTTGAGACAGGAGGTTTATCTTGTGGGCGTTAATTAGACACAAATAATGAGTAGGACGAAAGCCTTGAGTTAACAGAAACCAGTCATGTTTATTTAGTTCCTCCCAACCTCCATAGGTGGCAGCACATGCCAGTGCTGATAACTTGTTGACACAAGAACAGATAATACAACATCCCCCTTTGAGATGAAAATAAAACTAATAATGCAGCTCTTGCAGATATTAATTCCCATACAGTCCAAATTATCCAAAGATCATTCCTGACAAAGATTATATAATACCGCAACAATTGCTATGTAACCACATTAACGCATCGACACTTTATCGTTTTAAACACATTAACTCTCCTTTTGAACACTATTCTCACATTAACCCTATCTGGCTAAACAGATTGTTCACAGGTCTAGCTTCTCACATGGTTTGGACACTCTGCCTGACCTAGTCACATACTGGCTAGGCTTGAGCTGTCCATCAGTACTTTCACTGATACTGTCCTCGTGGCGGTTGAAGTTCAGTTCACGGGATGGAATGTCCTGTTCACGAACTAACTGTCCAGAGTTGGGATGCGCAACTGCTTGCGGGGTGTTCACATGTACTTCGCGATCTGGCGGTTTCTCGACGAAATCCTGCTCAATATCTGGGCTAAGCTTGCACAAGCTTCTGCGGTTTCGTCTCAGGGACGACCCAGATTGAGTCTCTACAACATACGATCGCGGTGTCTCCGCTTTGTGACTTTAGCGACTTGTTAACTCATGACCTTAGCGGCGACGTCTTTATCACGAACCCACACATTGTCTCCCTCCTTCAGTTCAATGAGTTGTCTCGCACCACGGCGTCTGTCAGCGGTTTCCGCCGTCTTTTTGCGGTACTCTAGTTCTGTCTTAGCGAGATTGTCCATATCCGGCCAACGGGGGTTTAGTTTGGTCGGATGCTGCGGAAGATTTGTACGCACGCGTCTCCCGAACAGCAATTCTGCCGGGCTGTACCCGTTGAAGAGAGGTGTGGCTCTGTACGCTAGCAGTGCGAGGTATGGGTCTTTTGCCTTCTTTACCCGGTCCTTCACGGTTTGCACCGCGCGTTCTACCTCCGCATTGCCTTGAGGATACAGCGGGCTACTCGTGGCATGCGTGAAGTTGTAGGTATCCGCGAAGCTTGCGAATTCTTCTGCGGAATACTGTGGTCCGTTGTCAGACCTGACGCGTTCTGGGACTCCATGTCTCGCAAAGATCGACTTAAGATGGTTGACTATAGCTTCCGATGATAGCTGCGTCAACTTCGCGAGTTCTATATAGCGCGAGAAGTAATCGACTACTACAAGGTAGTGACACTTCTTCAGTTCGAACAAGTCTGTACCAACGATCTGCCAAGGACGTTTTGGAAACTCGGTTGTGATGTTCGGTTCATGGCGAACAACACGTTCTTTTGCACAGATGTTACAGCCTTGCACTAGAGTTTCTAACTGTTTACTCAGTCCTGGCCACCACACAGATTCCTGTGCACGACGCCTACACTTAGTTATCCCCTGGTGACCTTCGTGAATCCTATCCAAGAGTTCTAAGCGCATGCTTGTGGGTATGACTATTCTAGTACCCTTCATCAGTAACCCGTCCATAACAGTCAGTTCACCTGCTACTGGGTAGAACGGTAACACAGCTCCATTGACGTATGATCTGTCTGGCCAACCATCTTGACAGTATTTGACGATTTGGCAGCACACTTCGTCTTCGGACTGCTTCTGACGAATTTCAGCTAGACGTTTTTCGGTGGCGGGCAGACTCTGCACGATTAACTCCACGTAGGCTTTGACATCCTGCGCGAGTTCTACTTCCTCAGACGTTGGCGGAATAGACACTGGCGCCCTCGACAAGGCGTCTGCGGTATACAGTTCTTTCCCCGGAACATGTATAATACCGTATCGGTAGCGCATCATACGGAGTTTGAAGCGTTGAACTCGTGCGGGGAGTTCATCCACACTCTTTGAGCCAAGAAGCGACACTAACGGCCTATGGTCCGTTTCTAGAGTAAAATGTTTTCCAATCAGATACTCTTGGAACCTATCGCAAGCCCACGCTGAGGCTAGCGCTTCTTTCTCCACCTGCGCGTACCGTTTCTCCGTATCAGACAATGAACGTGATGCGTATGCGATTGGTTTCCACACATTGTCATCCTGTTTCTGCTTGATGACGGCTCCTAATCCATACGACGACGAATCAGCAGAGACGAGCGTCTCTGCTCGGATCATACAGCGCAAGAATACCAGTCGACGTGAGACATGCCTTCAGTTCCATGAAAGCACGTTCCTGAGCTTGACTCCAAAGCCACGCATTTTTCACGCTGAGTAACGAGCGAAGAGGCTCCGTTCTGTCCGCTAGGTTAGGGACGAATTTCCCCAACTGGTTGAGCATGCCTAGGAAACGTCTAAGCTCTGTGATGTTCCCTGGCCGTTCCATCTCCTGTATAGCCTTGACCTTGTTTGGGTCTGCGTAGATGCCTTCGGCACTGACAATGTACCCTAGGTACTTGATTGTATCGACTGAAAACTCACACTTGTGCTCATTCAGGGTAACACCTGCGTCTCTCAGACTACTTAGAACAGCGTGGAGTCTTCCATCGTGTTCGCCTTGATCCTTTCCGAAGATCAGAATGTCATCCATATGACACAAAACTCCATCTAAGCCCTCTAGAATGTCCTGCATTCGGCGCTGGAATATCTCAGGCGCCGATGAGATTCCGTAAGGGAGTCTATTAAAACAGAACCTCCCGAATGGAGTGATGAACGTGGTCAGACTAGACGATTCCTTGCTTAGAGGCAACTGCCAAAACCCGGAGTTGGCGTCGAGTTTCGAAAACACCTTTGCTCCACTTAGACGCGCTAGTGTAGTGTCCACAGACGGTAGAATGTGTTTCTCACGTTTCACACTTTCATTCAACTTTGTCAGGTCTACGCAGATCCTGACAGTTCCGTTGGGTTTTGGAACCACAACCATTCCAGCACACCAGTATGTTGGCTCGGTTATCTTGGAAATAACTCCCATGCTCTCCATGCGCATGAGCTCTTCCTTGACCTTCTCGTACAGCGGTATAGGAACACGACGCGGCGTTGAGATCGAGTACGGTTGCGCACTGTCCTCGATTTTTATCTCATAGTCACCCTTCATCTTACCAAGCGATGAAAACAGTTCTGGAAATTGACTTTTCCACTTTGTAGCTTTGCCCTTGACGAACCTGACTACCGACACGAGATTGAGTTTCCTGATGGCTTGATCGCCAAGAAGTGGTTTCGTAAGGTCACGAACAACGTAGATGTCGGTTATCGCGACGCGCGAACCTTTCTCAAGTTTTCCACGAAACATCCCGACAGCGTCGAGTTTGGAACCAGCAGCTCCTACTAGGACCTTGGCAGGCCAAACTTTCCATAGCGATCGCAGTACATTTTCAATGGCATACACGTAACCTCGGCACCCGTATCAATTTTCCACACGATGAACGAATCTGCTATCTTTACTTCGCTTTGCCACGAAAGATCCCCCTCTGGTTGAGATTGTAGTGCTCCCATGAAAGCGGATGAGGGGTCACCCTCCGAACCAACCTCGTTGACTGATTTGCGAATTCGGCAATACATTTTGAAGTGGCCAATTTTCTTGCAAAAATGGCATTCTACACCTTTGGCTGGACACGGCTTTTTCTCATGCGGCGGTTGTCCACAGTTGGGACACGACTTCCCAGCCTGCTTTCTAGGCTGAAACTGCTTCTGACTGCTACCACTGTATGGCGGTGTAGGCGGTGGACGTTTGGGACGCCATTGAGCATCTCGTCGTTTCTGGACTTTGGCGACCTCCGCCAGCATGGGGGAGGCGCTCCCTCGCAGAATGCCCTGTTGCTTGCGAATGGTTTCGCTCTGGCGAGCCTTGTCCATGGCGGTTCTAAGCGACAAGTCTGCGTCAAGTTGCAGACGCTCTGACAATCTGCCGTCCTTAAGTCCTACCACAATCCTATCCCGGATTAACTCGTCATGCAGTGTACCGAAGTCGCACTTTTCCGCAAGAGTGAAAAGATCGGTGATGAACGAATCCACAGGTTCTGGAAACGTTGATTGAATTTTGCCCGTTCAAAAATGACATTCTTCTTCGGTACAAAATATCTATCCAGTTTAGCTTTAGTGAGTTCGTAACTCTTGTTCTCATCCTCCGTTAGATTCAGTGACATTAGAATATCCTCCGCTTCATCACCCATTGAGTAGATGAGGGTGTCTATTTGTTCTGGCTCTCCCTTTTCTGAGAGGCTAGACACTTGTCTGAATCTATCGAACCGTCTGATCCATTTTGACCAGCCCTCCGGCTTCCTAAAGTCGAATGACTCAGGTGGTTGGACTTGGAACTGTGCCATAGTCACTACTACCGGGAAGGGCAGAACGTGTGTAAAGTTCCACAGATAGTCAAAAAAGTCACTGCTCATCCGAAAATCCAGTAGGATCAGAGACTAACGGCGCGTGTAGCATGCACGACATTATTGCATTGACTTGTCTACCACATAGACATGGGCAAACTGAGAAAACTGGGGCATCACCACTGTCCTATTTACTGTCTCCGGTCTCTTTTACGATTCTGACACCATGTTGAGTCAGGAGGTTTATCTTGTGGGCGTTAATTAGACACAAATAATGAGTAGGACGAAAGCTTTGAGTTAACAGAAACCAGCCATGTTTATTTAGTTCCTCCCAACCTTCATAGGTGGCAGCACATGCCAGTGCTGATAACTTGTTGACACAAGAACAGATAATACAACATTAACATGCATTAACACTGCACCAATGTTTCTTTATTAATATGATTACTTAATTTATCATATTTATCACATTTTATCAGGTGTCACCGCAGAATGGCAATTATGGTTGAACACATCTTTAGAAATCAGTTCAGCTACTTTAAAAACTTGACTTGCTGGTTAGAGTCTGGCTGCATGGGACTATTGAGGTTCTTCCACATTATTATATTATCTATTAATTTGTGCTGTAATGCATATGGTTCCTTAAGCGGGCAATTCCACGCTGCAGGGACAATATATAAATAAAATCTAAAATCAATAGTTCAGCACAAAAGACGTTTGTAACTGCAAGAAAACTCATTTAGGTTATTTGAAAACAACTTTTTACTGACATGGCAGTGTTGATTTTCGAATTTCACTGCAATTCATTTACGGTGAAAAAATTTCTAATTTTTACAAAGTTTGTGGCTAGAGTGATCATCCCATATTCTAGCTACAATTCATCAACGGAAAAGTGAAACATGGCAAAGTAATCTTTAGTTTAACCAGAATCAATGCCTATTATTTGGAGAGGCTGCTTTCAAACACTGTAAGAAAAATAACCGGAGTAGCGAACATGCTAATTTAGGCAGATGGGGTCGTTGTCGTATCAGGTACTACAGATATGTACCCGAGGTAGTTTTAGGTTGTTTAGTATTGCTGAAGGGGTCGTTGTCGTAACAGGTACTACAGATATGTACCCGAGGTACATATATGTATACACAAAGTGTACCCAGGACTTGTCTACAGGAAGTGTTAAGCCCTAACCCTAACCACTAAAAACCCTTAGGCCCTAAAACCCTACTCCAAACCTTTAACCCTAACCCTAAACAGTACCTTCATATAAAAAAAAAATATTAAACATAAATACTAATAAACAACCCTAAAAATTACCTCGGGTTACATGGACATCTGTAGTACC